ATTACCACTTTGCTTCTAAAACATTTTTATCACCCCAAAAGAAATCCTACATTCCTTAGCAGTCATTCCCTATTTCCTCCTAGCTCCCTAGCTCTAGGTGAGCTGTAGTTTACTTTTTACATTTAAAGATTTGCCTGTTCTAAACCAAAGTTTCCACATCATTTTACATTCTAACCAGCAGTGTATATTGAGAGTTCCAATTTCTCCACTCCTTGACAGCACTTTTTGATTTAGCCATCCGAGTGGGTGTGAAGAACTATTTTATTGTGGTTTGATTTGTGTTTCCTTTATGGTTCATGACATTAAGTATCTTTGTATGTCTTTTCTGGCCATTTATTTATCTTCCTTGGAGATGATAACACTTCTGAATGTAACGAGTGGGTAGGAGGAAGTGTAAAATGATCTCTTTCTTTTCCATTGTAGGGAGGTAAGTTTAAGAGTGAAACATGCAGTTAAAACTATAAAAACTCTAACCTTTCATGTTTTCTAGAATCTCTTACTCTTAGAAGGGTTTTGGAAAATCTGTCAAAAAGGAAAATGAGTTTTAATACACAAGTCCTGCACCTTCTTCTTCTTTTTTTTTTTTTCTTTTTGTCAAATTTGCCCCAAGTAGTTTGATAATTTGATGGCATTATAAACGTTGCCATTTTGGAATTTTAATTTCTGATTTTTCATGGCTGGTATATAGAAATATAATAGATATATTTGTACATTGATCTATCCCTGTGACCTTTCTAAACTCACTTACGGGTAGTATTTTTATAGATTTCATAGGATTTTTACTGGATGAATGTACTATTTGCAAATAAAGATAGCTTTACTTCTTTCACCTTTTCAGTTTTCAGTTTCTCTTTTCACTGCACGGGCTGGAATCTCCAGTATGATGTTGGGTGGGAGTGGTACGAGCGCATATTCTTGCTCTGTTTCCCATCTGAGGGGGAGCAGCCATTCCTTTACCACTGAGCTTTTTGTAGATACCCTTTATCAAGATGGAGGAAGGTCTCTTATATTCTTTTCTTACCGAGAGGGTGTTTTTTTGTTGTTTTTCTTTTTAAATCTGGAATGGGTATTGATATTTGCCAAATGCCCTTTCTGCATTTAGTTAGATGATTTCCTTTTCAAAGAAAATAATTTTTGAATGATTTTTTTTTTTTTAATGTTCAAAGAACCTTGAATTTCCTGGCATATCTTTTTTTGTTTTGTTTGTTTGTTTTAGATTTTATTTATTTTTAGAGAGAGGGGAAGGGAAGGAGAAAGAGAGGGAGAGAAACATTGATCGGTTTTGTCCTGGCACAAATCTTACTTGGTAGTTACCCTCTTAATATATTGTTGGATTTGATTTATGAGGACTTCGTTAAATTTTGTATTTGTGTTTATGAGGAATGTTGAGTTGTAGGTTTCTTGTACTGGTTTTGGTAATAGGGTGATGTTGACCTCGTAGAAGGAGTTGGAAAGTATCTTCCTGTCTTCAGTTTTCTGGGTGAATTTTTAGAAAATTGATATTAGTTCTTCTTAAATATTTGGTTGTATTTACCAATGAACCCAGCTGGTTCTAGAATTTTGTTTGTGGGAAGGTTTTTATCAAAAACGTTCATAGTGTTGTACAACCATGGCTACACATTTATCTTTGTAGATTTTTGTCATCTTGTAACTTGCCTTCATTTTTAAAAGATATTTTTTTTTGGGGGGGGTATCTTAAAGACTTTGCTTATTGTCTTCTCTCTTACATTCGTGACAACTAGAAATCTGCATTTTATCTTTGTTTTTCTGTGTGAAATGTAATTGTATTTTCTCTGGCTGCTTTTAAGATTTTGTCATTTGTCTTAAGTCATTCGTTTAAGAAGTATCTTTATGTAGTTTTTATTCTTTCTGGAGCTTTTATGTGCTTGGGGTTCTTTGAATTTTTTGTGTCTGTTGATTTGTAGATTTCATTAAGTGTGGAAATTTTTCTACCTTTGTTTTTTGGTAACAGCTTGAGATATAATTCACACAATTCCCTGTAAAATGCATATTCAGCGGTTTTTGTATATTGACAGTTTTATACATGTGAGCAGTCATTTCCCATTTCCTCTCAAGCAGCCAGCCCTTAGTAACCATTAGTCTCATTTCTATCTCAATAGATGTTTGACGCTTTTGGATATTTCACATAATTGGAGTCATATGATACATGGTCATGAGCTTCTTTCAGTGTTCACCCAATGTTGTAGCAGTATCAGTACTTCACATAATATTCTGTTGTAGGAATATACCACATCTTATTTACTAATCAGTTGATGAGCATGTAGATTGTTTTCACTTATAGAATCCTAAGAATAATTCTGCCATGACATTCATGTATAAGTTTTTGTGTGGACATGTTTTTGTCTCATTTGGGTACATGCCTAGGAGTGAATTGCTGGCTCTGTGGTAACTGTGTTTATTAACCCTTTTGAGGAACTGCTATACTGTATTCCCAAGTGGCTGCGTCACTGCATTACCTCCAGCCACCTATGAGGGTTCCAGTTTCTCTACACCTTCCCAATACTTGTTATCATCTGTCGTTTTGATTACAGCCATGCTGGTGGATGTGACGTAGTATGTCGTTGTGGTTTTGATTTGCATTTCCCTAGTGCCTGATGATATGGAGCATTTTTTCATGGCCTTATTGGCCGTTTGTGTATCTTTGAAGAACTCTGTAAGATCTTTGCCTATTTTTAAATTGGTTTGTCTTTTTCCTACTAAATTATAAGTGTTCTTTATACATTCTGGATACGAACGTCTTACCAGATTTGTGATTTTCAAATATGTTTTCCCTTTCTTTGCTTGTCTGTTTACTTTATTAATGGAGTCCCTTGAGGCACAAGGGGTTTTAATTTTCAAGTACAATTTATCTGTTCTATCCTTGGTTGCTCATGTTATCAGTGGTATCTCTAACAAACCATTGCATAATCCTGAGTCACAAAGATTTATGTCTGTGATTTCTTGTTTTCTTCTCTGGGCGTGTGCGCCTCTTTCCTTCCAAGAGCTTTTGAGGTAACTTTTGTACATGGTGTGAGGTAGGTGTACATCCTCATTCTTTTGCATGTAGATACCAGTGGACTCTTGCCTTTGTTTCCTAAGGTTTTTTTTTTTTTTTTGGTCCCTAACCCATCCCTGTTTTGGGGACTCCAGTTACACATACATATATTAGACTCTTTAAAGTTGTTCAAGAGTTCACTGATACAATCTTCTCAGTGTGCTTTCTTTGTTTCATCTGGGATAGGTCTGTTGCTATAGCCTCGTTTTAGACATGATGTTCAAGTCTAGAATTTCAGTTTAGCTGTTTATGCTGTCCTGTTTCTCGACTTAAATGTTTAGTCTTCTAGCTTCTGACCATGTGGAATACAGTTAAAGTAACTTTTAAGGTCTGCTACTTTTATGACCATCTCTTCTGGACCTGTTTTGATTGATATTTCTCTTCATTATGAATGTTATCCTCCTTTGTCTTTGCATGCCTGGTAATTTTTTTACTGGGTTCCACATAGTGTGCATTTTTACCTTTGTGGGATGAAGCATATTTTTGTATCCCTGGATTAGTATTGAGCTTTGTTTTGGGATGCAGTTACTTGGAAACAGTTTGATTCTTTTTGAGACTTGCTCTTAAACATTCTTAGGGGCGACTAGAGTAACTTTTAGTCTAGAGCTGGTTTTTGTTCCACTAAATACCTTTTGAGTTACAAGACTGTCCCTTCGGTGTTTGCAACACCAGCTAGCCTCAGTCCTGTATGAGCCTGGGGATTGTTGCCTGTACTCCTTTTGGGTGTTTCTTTCTTTCTGGCTCAGGACGTTTCTCACATACATATGCTGATAAATACTCAGTTGAAAACTTGTCACCTGACACCTCTGTCTTTTTATCTGTCCTCTCTGGTACTCTGTCTTTGTAAACTTGACCCTGTCTCCTGAGCTTGGTGGTTGTGGAGTGGGGGAGGAGGGTACTCTTTGGGTTTCCCTTGAGACCCCTTGCCTGTGCTGCTGTCAGGAAGTAAGCTGAGACCCTTGTAGGACCCACCTTGTTTCCCTTCCCTTCAGGGGGATCATGCTCTTGCATTGGTTGATGTCTGGTATCTGAGATTTGTTAATTCTTGTATATTGCCTGATTTTGTAGTTAGGTGGGATGGTAAATTTGGTCCCCGTTACTTCATCCTGATTAAAAGTAGAAGTCTCAAGGTTGCTTTTCAGCCAATAGGAAATTAGTTCCAAAACTGGTATATTTTCATTACTTCTGTTTCTTTTTCTTTCAAACTAGGTCCTAGACCATTAACAAGATTATGGGGAAAGTTCCTAGATAGACTGTAGAAATGACTGGCATTTTATCACGAAGTGTCAAAGTATAGATTTAATATTTCATTGATAGAAATTATTCTGTTCTCAGTCATTGACTTCTGTGTCTACTACTATTTGATTATGTAGCTATGACTTAATATCTGAAATGTTTCTGGGAAAGTATTTTTACCCTTAATTATTTTAGCTACACTATTGATGATACAGTTATCACTTGGGTAATCAGGTCTTAAAATGCAAGGCTGAGAATATCCCGTTGACTGACATAATTGCTGTTCCGGAGTATGCAGACGAACAGCCTTGGAGATACAGGATTTGATTTGGTTTCTTTTTTGCCTAAATCCAAATCAACCATGTTGAAATAGTGGATTTATCATTAGTAATAAATTTCATACTTTTATGTCATAGCTGAAGCCACTTTGAAGGATAAAGTCTTAGCTATTGTGCTCTTAAATATAATGGTATAATCTAAATATTGATATGTTGCCTCAGATGCATTTTTCATTCTGCTAAGCGTAGGTTATAACTTTATCATAGTGGTGAATTGTCCTAGATTAGGTTAGGTTTCTCCTGTTAAACCTTTTCTCACAGTTTTTTGTATGGTAAATCATTACTTATCACCACACCCAAATGTTCTTTGATCCGGGGATCAAATTATAGAGAATACTATAATCCTTGCCCTGTTTTTTCATTTTTTACAGGAAGAGTAAGAAGCTTAAGCTCATCTTTGTGGTCATTAACTCACCTGACAGCTTTGCATTTGAGTGACAATTTCCTGTCCCGCATCCCTTCAGATATTGCCAAGCTTCACAATCTGGTGTATCTGGACCTGTCTTCAAATAAAATCCGGAGTTTACCAGCAGAACTCGGAAACATGGTATCACTCAGGTATGCAGATTCAACTTAATGTCTAACTGTAGACCCCCAAAATTAAATAGAGCATTCACGTTGTTAGGTAGCAACACTGTCAGTTTGATAGTATTTGACCAAAAGCAAACATAACTGTAACCTTTATATAAAGTTTTCTTAAAAAGTTGAATTGCAGTTAACAGATAATATATCAAGTAGATCCATTGCCTAAAATTTGTTTTATTGCTGTGTTTGTGTAACGTACTTTTCTTGAATCAAAATTTTTGGAGAAAGTGGACGTAAACAATTAGAAATCACCCGTGTTAACCCCAAATGTGCACTCACCTGTGGTGGACCGTTGTGGTGCCTTCCCCTGCTAAGTTCTGGGCGCCGTGCCATCCTTGACACAGGGGCCTGGACCCCATTGCCAGTTAGTGAAACATTTTGGGGCCTTCCAGGGCTTATATGCAGGACAGTAGTAAAGTTTGGACTCGAAAAATGCTAGGATTAGTCATTGAGTTGGGGACTGTCTTGTGGAGCGCAGGAGGTGAACAGGATGTGGCGGCCCGCCGGGGTCAGACTGGAATCCTGACTTTACCGCTTACAAGTAAGTATGATTTGGGCAAGATTCTTAACCTCGCTGACTGTTTCCTCATCTGTAGAGGTGTTATAATACCTACCCTCTCAAGGCTGAGATGAAAGATATTTGAGGTAATGACTTCAAACCAACTAGCAGTCTGACTGGCACACACTGTATTTAATAAACGGAATCACTGTTGTTTTTATTACCTCTGTTTTATAAGTAGGTGAAATCTACTCAAGTTGAATATAAAGCCAATTTCTGGCAATTACGTTAATCCCAGTAGAAAGTCTTGCCCTGTTTCATGTTACCCATCTGTGCTCTGTGGTCCCACTGGCTTTTTGCTGTATGGTAAAAAGAAGGAAGGACCGTGTGAGAGTTTCCTTACTACTGTTGCTCTCCCTAGTCCAGCCTTTTGACTTTTTTTAGTCTTAAATATTGAGTATGTATTAGGACCATTTCTCCTCAACCAAATTTACTTAAGTAAACAGGAACCAATAAGATCGTTTTTCTTATTCGTTTTACAGCCTTACTACCAACATCTGTTTACTCACTAGTAACCAAGGCTTATTTAAATTCCAAGAACCAGGGATTATAAAAATAGTTCTTACTCACATATAAAAGTTGATAAATAAAACTTCTTGAAAGAAATTGCCAATATCTCAGTGTTGGAGCTTTGTGGGGGTTTTTTCCCTCCTCCTATTAAAGAGTCTTTTGATATTTATATTATGGTTATCTGTTCAAAACAAATCATTAAAATCACTATTAGTAGTTAATGTAGCTGCCATTATTTCAAAAGTGAAACTTCAGTAAATTTGAAGTGTCAACCATAAGTTTACTGTGTAGCTATCAGTGACTCTTTTGAGTTGGTCATTACATGACTGTTTCCATTCTCTTAACAATTCACATGTTAGGCTGGTTTGTCACTTTCACTTTCTTAAATGCGCCTGGTGGCAGAGCCCACATGGGCTAGAGCAGTGCTCTCGGGAGGGTCTGGGCTGCCCGTGTGCCAACTGCTACACAGCATGTGAGAGAGATTTTGTGTCTGTTGAATCTAATACTCTTAACAAATTAAGGCTTGTATTTTGTTCTTTTTTTCCCCCTCATTTCATTTTTCTACCAGTTCATCATTTCCCTGTATTTTACAAACGTATTGTTTTATGGAAGTTTGGGAGGGGCAGTTTGTTGTGTGTTTTTATCACATACTATTTGAGAAGCACTGTGCTAGACATTGGAATGTACTGTAAAATTTCGTAAATTTTTGGAGTTTATATTCCCAGGAATTATATTCTTGACTTTAGCTGTTAGTTAAAGGTTAATGTGTCTTCTGACTTTCTGGAATTTTTACATCAACAGGGAACTCCATTTAAATAACAACCTGTTACGAGTTCTACCTTTTGAGCTGGGGAAACTGTTTCAGTTGCAGACTTTAGGCCTGAAAGGTATGATTTCCCATATTTGTGCTCCTTTTGCTTTCTATGTATGTCTTTGAGTCTAAAGAAGCCATAAGAGGGAATTCTTCTGCCTGGGGATTTGTGGGCTGAGTCTTCCCCAAACTTCATTAATTTCTTAGGTACATTGAGTTGTTTTCTCTCCTGTCTACCTGTGAACTGTCTACTGTCCGTGTTCTGTTTTATTCCTAGTCCAGCATTGCTGTTCTAGCCTTTGTTTCAATTGCCTCTGTTCTGGTGATGCATTTCCTGAGGTTATGCTTTACTTATATCATCATGCAGCATTTTTTATGTTCAAATCTCAAAAAATGGGGACTCTTACAAAGTGTAGAAAACAGCAAGTTGAAAATTTGGACCTGTTAATAAAGTTCAGTGTTTGAGCATTTTTTCAAAAACCTGATTTATTAGGACTTATTTAATATATTAGAATTTGATCCAGTAAGAACTGTTGGGAAATATATTTTTTTAAACCATCAAGATTAAAACTCACATTTTAATATGTCAATACCTACACATGTTTTATCACATTAACTGGTTTCTTCACCAGTCGTGTAGCTTACTTTATGATTGATTACTTTTAAAAGTCACGTAATGAAGTCTTCACAAATTGTACTCTTTATTTCTTAAAAAATACAGTTTAAAGTGAGGTTTTTTTCCAGTAAGTTTATTTTATGTCATATAAATAATGATATTGTTCACAAAAACAAATGAAATGGAAAAATGCAAATAATACATTTACAAATATATGTAAAACCATATGGAACAAATGTTAGCTTTATAAATGGCTCTTTGGAAAGTGTTTTCTGTGTGGGCTGGACTTGCTGAGGCTTCTGAAAGTAGGGGTCAGGGAAAGGGGCGCTGTGAGTGTGCCCCTTTCTAATACCTGTCCCCTGGTGAGCCCAGCCTTTTGATTTTCTGTTTTTAAATCTGATAAACAGAAATATAAAATGGACCAAAGTATATCTGTGTCCTGACCCCCAGAATTAACTTGAATATTTCATCCGTTTTTTACTGCAAAAGAGGTGGAACATTATAGAATTACATAGGAAATTTCAAAAAGTTTTAGGAGCTCTGTGCCAGCAACATTGGAGGAAGATCAAATAGGGGTAAAATTTGTTTACAGTTGTTGGTATGGAAAATACTACAATAATTAATTAATAGATAGTAATACAACAATGAAGTCCCTTTCGTGCGCTCCCAACTCTGAATCACCCCCCCGCCCCCCATATCCCTTGGCAAGAATTGCAGTGAAGGCCAGTTTATCAGTTTTTCCTTTTATGGATCCTGCTTTGGGTGTCAAGTCTGACAACTGTTTGAAGAGCTCTAGATCCCAAAGATCCTATGTTTTGCATTAAGTTTTACAGTTTTTGTGCCTTGCTTTAAAGTCTGTAATCCATTTTGAGTTAAAAGGAGCAAGGTTTAGGTCAAGGTTCTTTTTCCCTCCAGTCTATGGATGGATGTCCAATTGCTTCAGCACCATTTGTTGAAAACTCTGTCCTCAATTGAATTGGTTTTGGTTTTGCAGCTTTTTGAAAAATCAGTTGGACACATCTGTGGATCTATTTCTGGATTCTCTGTTCTGCTCCATTGAGCTATGTGTCTATCACTAAGCAAATGAATGCTTCATAGTTACTTGAAACTTGAAATAGGGTATTAAGTCTTGAAATAATGTTTTGATACAGAATAGGCCGCTTCTGCTGCTGCTATCAGGCACCACATAATGATGTTTCAGTTGATGATGGAACACATCATCATATACAACCGTGGTTTACCATACGCCTTGGTTTGTAATTGGCTATACTGTCTAGGTTTGTGTGAGAAGTGCACTCGATGTTCGCACAATGACAAAATCATCTAGAGACATGTTTCTCAGAACAGATCTTGTCATTATGTGGTACATGACTGTACAGTCTTTTTTTTTTCAAAATGATTTTAGCTATTCTAGTTCTTTTGACTTTCAATATATAATTTTTGTCTATGGCTACAGAAACATCCCTGGGATTATGATTGGAATTATATTAAACCTGCCTCTCAAATTGTAGAGAATGGACATTTTTACTGTGTTGTCTTCCAATTCATGAACATGCTATGTCTCTCCATATATTTAGCTCTTGCTTTTTTTCATTATTGTATAGTTTTGGTATATAAGTCCTGTAAAATATTTTGTTATATTTATAGCTGAGTTTTTCTGTGGATTGTTTTTTTCTTTTTTTTTTAGTGATTGTAAATGATAAAGTATTTTAAACTTTATTGTCTGTGTGTTCATCTGAATTTATAGAAATGCAATGACTTTACATTTTTATCTAGTATTTTACCTTTTTGAACTTGTGGTTCTGGGAGTTGCTTTGAATTTTTTTATAGGTTTTCTTGGTAAATTTTGGGGGATTTTTCTATGTAGAAAATGACGTCATCTGCAGGTAGGGACAGCTTTATTTGTTCCTTTATAAGTATGGATTCTTTTTCTTGCCTTATTGCACTGACTAAAACTTCTAGCTCTCTGTTGACTGAGAGTTGCGACAGCAGACCTCCCTTCTTTGTCCCAAACTTATAAACTATTGTCTTTACTAGTAAGTATAATGTTAGCAGTAGGTATTTTGTAGATGATCTCTTAACTTTAGAAAGTTTCCTCTATTCCTTTTTTTTTTCTGAGAGTTTTTAATCGTGAATGGTCGTTTTATTTTGTTAAGTGCTTATAATGTATTAGATGATATGATCACATGATTTTTCTTCTTTAGTCTGATAATTGATTTTCAAATATTGAACCAGTCTTGCATTCCTAGAATAAGCCCTACTTAGTCATGGTGTATAAAATTCATTTTATTCATTGCTGACTTTTGTATGCTAATATTAGCTTTATGAAATGAGTTTGTAAATGTTCCCTCATCATCTTACTGGAAGAGATTCTGTAGAATTGGAGTTAATAATTCTTTAAATGTTTGGTGGAATTTTCCAATGTAATAATCTGTGCCTGGAGATTTCTGATAGTTTTAAAATTACAGATTTTTTCTTAAAGGTAAAGGACTATAGAATTATCTCGTTGGGTGAGTTGTGACAGTTTGTGTTTTTCAGGGAAGTGGCCCATTTTCTGTGTTGTTAAATTTATTTGTGTAGAGTTGTTCATTGTATTCCTTCATTTGTTTGATTTCAGTAGGGTCTATAGTGATACCCTCTTTCGTTTTTGGTATTAGTAAATTTTGTCTCCCTTTTTTTCCTTGTCACTCTTGGTAGAGATTTGTCAGTTTTATTGATCTTTTCAAAGAAATGTCTTAAATTTTTTTTCTCCGTTTTCTGTTTTCAATATCATTAATTTCTGCTCTTTTAGTGTTTCTTATCCTTTTTGTTTTGGGTTTATTTTGCTTCCCCCCCCCCCGGTTCTTAGGATGGGAGTTTGGATTATTGAATTGGGACTTTTTTCCTTCTAATATATGCATTTTACTGCTATATGTTTCCCTCTTAGCACTGTTTTAGCTGTATGCAGCCACAAATTTTGATATATTTTTATTTTCACTAGCTCAGTGCATTTTAAAATTTCCCATGAGAATGTCTCTTTGATCCATGGATTATTTAAAATTTTCAAGGTGTTTGCAGATTTTCCTATTGTCTTTTGGTTATTGATTTTTAGTGTGATTCTGTTGTGGTTGAAGAATATGTCACCTATATAATTTCAGTTTTGTTAAATTTATAGCCCAGAATATGGTCTATCCTAGTGTTTGTCCCTTGAGCATTGGACAAGAATATGTATTTGCCTCTTGATGGGTAGAATGGTGTTGTGGACTTTTTTGTTTAGTTCTATCAATTGCTCAGAGAGGGGTTTCCTTTTATGGGGTTTCCTATATCAACATCTGTCAGTTTTTGCCTAAAATACTTTGCAGCTCTGCTGTTTGGTGAATATGCTTTTATCGTTACTATGTCTTCTTTTAACATTACACAATGGCCCTTGTCACTGGTGGTTTTACTTCCTCTGAAATCCGTTTTATTTGATGGTAACGTAGCCACTTCTGGCTTTATTAATATTTATATGACTTATACCTTCTTTTTTTGTTGTTGATTTATATTTTTTTTCCTTTCAGCTCGCTTATATTGTTTATATTTGAAGTAAGTTTCTTATGGACAGCGTATAGTTCGGATATGTTTTTAAATACGTTCTGCCAGTCTTTGTTTTTTAATTAGTGTATTTAGACAATTTACACTTAATTGATTGTTGGTACGTTAGGACTTTTGTCTGCACTGTATATATTGTTTTCTAGTTGTTCTCCCTTTTTTGTTGTTCTGTTTTGTTTTTTTGCCTTCCTGTGGATTATTTAAACATCCTTTACGTTTCCATTTTGTTTGTCTATAGTGTGTTTCAATTATCTATTTGTACCTTTTTTTTAGTAGTTGCTGTAGGTATAGTTTTATGTGTGTATATGACTTATTACAGTCTTCTGGAGTTATTGCCAGCTTGAAGTATAGAAACCTTAACTGTCTTTATGACCTTCTATAATCTTTTCCTTCTATTGATGATACAATTGTCTTAAATGTTTTCTCTGCATACATTTAAAAACAAATGTGTTATGAAAAAAATTTAAACTACCAAAGATGATTTAGAAAATTTAAAATAAATAAAGCCTATTTGCCACCCTGCCCCTTTTTTTACCATATTCTTGTATCTTTCTTCCTAATGATTCAAGATTCCTTCTTTTATCATTTCCTTTCTATTTAGAGAATTTCCATTAATGATTCTTTTAGGGTAGATCTACTGGCAACAGATTCTCTTGGTTTTATTGTCATCTGAGAATGTCTTTATTTTTCCTTCATTCCTAAAGGATATTTTCACTGGGTACAGGATTCTGGGTTGACAGTTCTTTTCCTTCTGCACTTGAAAAATACTGTGCTGCTTTCTTCTAGCCACCGTAGGTTGTGGTGACAAATCAGCTGTTTCTCAAATTGGTTTTCCCCTACCCGTAAGGTCTCTTTATTTTTCTCTGTCTTCAAAATTTTTCATTTGTCTGTCTTTTTAAGAAGTGTAATTATGATGTGACTTGGTGTGGATTCCTTTGGGTTTGCCCTGTTTTGGTATATTTGAGGAGTTTTCAGCCATCATTCCTTTGAGTACTTCTTCAGTCCTGTGTTCTTTGTCATTGCTTCCATGACCTTGAAGTTTTTATTTCATTTTTTCTATTTTTTCAGTTTTAATACTTTCATTTTTTTAAATGTTTGTCAAATTTTTCTTTTTCTTTGCTGAGGCTTTCTAGTTTTTCATTTTTCTTAGCATGCTTGTAATTTCTTACTGAAGCATTTTTACCATGCTTGCTCTGATTTGATTGGGTTGTTCTAATGTTTCTGTCATTTCAGTGTTGGAATTTTTTACCTTGTTTTCATTTGGTTTGAAATCACCCTGGTTCTTGGGTTGAGTGATTTTCACTTGAAACTGGATATAATCATACTATGTTATGTTATTTAAGTCTTCTGGTTTTGCTGACTTTCTCTAACACTGCACTGGCAGGGAAAGTTGGGGGCACTGTCTCCTTACTGCCAAGGAAGGTAGGAGTTCAGATTCCCCTTTGCCTCTACGGAGGGTCAGCTGGGTGAGGGTGGCAGTTTTGGCTGTCTGTGTGGTCTCCACAGTGACTGCATGGAGGTGGCCTCATTACTGCTGGGAGGTGGTAGAAGTCTTGTGTCTCCTTGGCCTCCTCTGACATCATTCCCAGAAGGGATGTGGAGAGCCGCCTCCTTAACTGAGGGTGGGGGTAGAAGTCGAGGCTCCCCTCATGGTGTCTGCTGACGCCTCAGGATGGGGAAGGAGGAGGTCCTACTGCCCAGAGCGGGTAAAGCTCCAGCTGCCTACTTGACCTTCGCTGGTACTACCCCACCAGAGATGCCGGGCACCTCCTTACTTCCTCACAAGGGGGGAAATCTAGGTTCCCTGATTCATTAGCCTTTGCTGACAAAGAAATGTATGTTTCTTCAGTGTTTAGCTGGAGCAGAGCTGTTATTATCTAAAAGTTTTGTCTTCTTAGGCTGTCTTTTGGCTTTTGTGGGCATTTTTCCTGTGCCCATTGGTATTTCCGTGTTGCTGGCTTTCTCGGCGCCATGTCTGGGATATATGAGGCAAAAATTAAACCAAAGGAGCTCAGCACTACAGTGCTCCTCAGGGCTTGGGGTCTCTAGCTATTCTGCCTTCTCACCACATTTCAGAGTCTTAATGTTTGTTTATATGTAAGGTACAGGGATTTTGGTTGTGTTTAGCTGGAGGAATATGGGAAATACGGTTATTCCATCTTTTCAGAAACAACTTCTGTTACGCACTTCAAGATCATGTTTTAATTTCAGAAATGTGGTGGTGGTGTTCTTAACGTAACCCTGTCTACATGGGTGTGCAAAAGTAGGTTTAGAGTTGCATGAAAGTTTATATAAATCTTACATTATTATTTATTAATTATTGTATTTGTATTTATTTGTGTTGCAACTCTAAACCTACTTTTGCCTAGCCCTGTATTTTATTTATCCAGGCAGTGAAGAGCATATTAATTTTAAATTTAAAGGAATCCAAAAAGCAAGCAGACATTGGGGGCAATACGCTGTTTGGCTTCAGCTGTATTTGTTAGAGCTATAAATAGATGCTTGTGTTGGGGGATAGTTTTTAATATATAAAGAAAGATCTTGGAAGGGAGGGTACCATAGTCATAAGTAGTCAGTGGTCACCTCTAAATAGTTTTACACTAGAAAGTAGTAAAAAGATAACATTAATAGAGGACTGGTTAGAATGGGCTGCTTACCTGGTACTGGGAAGTGTGTGGCTGACTTCATTTTCTCAAGCTCTCTTCAATAAGCGGTCCTGTTAACGCTCAGGCTGCTGCTGTGCCCGCCTCACGGGACGGTGACTATAGACAGGTCTTCAGGGCTTTATTATCTGTCAGGAGCTGTGCACATGTGAGGAATGATACTTTTATAATTGTCCTCCTGCAGGGACATGCTCTGTCCTTACAGGAGCACATTTGTGCCTTTATAATTCTTAGAAACTTCTTTCCTTCCATGTAATTCAGCTGTTAGGAAGGCTACTCCGCTCCCTCGCAGAGCAGGGCACTTCATCTTAAATAGTTCTGATGTCTGCCAGCCGCCTCTGTTCTGAGCTGGCTTTCTCTTAGGTCCTTTCCCTTGGTTCTCATTCTGCCATTTGGGTCTACTCTTTCACAAGAGACTAGAAGATAAAAACCTTTTCTCTCTGGGCTGTGATCATTCTTATAGTCCATATCCTTTTGTTGTTGTTGTTTTCATTCAGTATGGTTAAGATGTTACCTCATTTCCGCTGCCTTCAATCTGTAGAATATATTAGTCTTTAAGAGGAACTAAGGCACCATTTGTGTGGCGTGAATAGAAGCTGTTAAAAACAGTACACTGCACTGTTTTTTCTCAAGTGTATAAGACGTTCTTCTGAGAGGATTGGGGCTCATACACATAAATCATTTCTTTTACTTTCATTTTTGGCACATAAGAAACAGTTACTGAATTTACAGATGGCTCACAGCCCTGGGGTTTTTCCCTTTTCTTTAGTGACTTAATCTTAAACCAAGTCTGCCCTATCTTGTTCGTTTTATTCAATAGATTTTTTAAAAATCTAGGTGCTTGGTTACATTTGTTATTTGGGAAGTTTTCTTGCTAGCTTTGTTGTGTTCCTAAACTTAGATTCTCTGATTTGTTCTGCTGGCTGTTGCCTTTCTCTTGCCCCGCCCTCCTCTCCGCACTTCCCCAGCCCGTTTTCCCGCGCTTGGGACCGTGGCGGACGCGTTGCTGCAAGGTGCTGCGGGGTGTCTCCTACACCGGCACCGTCCTCCACCGATCACGTTGGGATGCTCTGTGGGACATAGTGTAGGTCATTTTCACCCTTCACAGCAAAAGCAGGAAAACATATTTAGTATGTTACTAGTAACTTACATGCATTGTTATGAATGATCTGATAATTTTGGTATATTTTTCAGTTTTGAAATATTTTAGTGCTTGTCTTGATTTCATTGTACCTATTTTAAAAATATTTCCAGGAAATCCACTTACCCAGGATATACTGAACCTCTATCTGGAACCAGATGGAACCAAAAGGCTATTAAACTATTTGCTTGATAATTTGGCAGGTACTGCAAAAAGAAGTAAGTGGTCACTTGTTTAATAGATGTTTTTAGGAAGACACGTAAGAATATTGCTTAATTTTGTGTTTTGTTTTCAACTAGTTTCAACAGAACAGCCACCTCCAAGATCTTGGATTATGTTACAAGAACCAGACAGAACAAGGCCAACTGGTTGGTAGCCTTATTTTTTTAACTTTTTTACTTGATCGTTATAAATCTAACAGTATTGTTGGCCTGCCTTAGATTATGGTCAGTGTTACAGTAAGATGCTTTCAATTGATCTGTTGGGGAGATAATAATAAAGACTTCATTTTTGTTCACCTGGTCTCTCAACTGTGCTATTGAAAGTGTGCTGTAAAGAGGTGCTTCTTAGCCAGAGGTGACTGTGTCCCCCAGGGGACAGTTGGCAATACCTGGAAACATTTTTTGATTGTCACAACTGGGGAAGCGCCGCTGGCATCTCAGAGACGCTGCTCAGCACCCTGCTGCGCACAACACGACGCCCCGCAGTGCGTAGTGTGCCCGCCCACGGTGCCGGTGGCGCGGCGGTGAGGGGACCCTGCTATAAAATGTTGGTCAAATTCAGTTACAATGGATACACAAAAATCTTTTTATATTGGGAGTTTCTAAATCCTAGTAGATCCCCCATGTATTTGATACTACAGAATTGTTGGAGAGCCACAACACTTAATTGAGAGTGAAATTGAATTAATGACATCTAATCTCCTTTTAATTTAAATAGTATGAAAATAGTTTGGGAACGTCTGTCATAGGTGTAACAAGATTTGGCCTATGATACCCTAACACTTTATCTGTTGAGAAAAATACCAGTCAGATTTCCATATTCTTCATCAATGGTGAGTGGAGTGGTGGGCTGGGCACAGAAATGAGGGCCCGGGTCTCAGAGGCTAAGGGCTCAAGATCTCAGTCTCTTAGCTTCTGAACTTCTTGTACGTACCTCTGGCAGGTAACATACCATTTCATAATTTATTCATGTATCCTTCCTTGTTCGACTTTATTTGTGTACACTCTGTCTGGCATATAGTAGTTTTTCAATGACTATATGGTGAATGAATAAAGTCAAACTTAGCATTTAAGTGAAGATTATTGAAAATGATTGTGTGCTTTTATTTCCTGCCACACATTGAATAAATGAAGTTATCTTTCCTACAGCTTTGTTTTCTGTCATGTGCTATAATGTTCTTTGTGATAAATATGCGACCCGGCAGTTATATGGCTACTGTCCCTCATGGGCACTGAATTGGGATTACAGGAAAAAGGCCATTATTCAAGAAATCTTGAGCTGCAATGCTGATATCGTAAGTCTTCAGGTGAGCCGACGTGAGAGTATTTGTGTCAATTGCACAAATGCCCCAACGTTTATTAAAGCAAGGAGCAGCGTGGGATTGCGTTGCGTTGACACATCTGAAACCCTACCTTTAGCAAGTCTCTTTCTTTTATCTTTTATAAAAGAGTTTTATTTATTTATTTTTCCATTTTTAGAAAAAGATTTTATTTGCTTTTAGAGAGAGGGAGAGGAGCATCGGTGTGCGAGAGCTTCGACAGTCTGTCGCCTCTCGCAGCTGGGGCCCGGCCTGTGACCTGGGCCCGCGCCCTGACCGGGGACCATCTGGTCAGCGACCTTAGGGCGCGCCGGCCGGCGCTCGGTCCGCTCAGCCACACCGGTGGGGGTGAAAAGGTTTTATCTTTGAGAGAGGGGGAAGGGAGGGGGAAAGAGAGGGAGGACAAGAAACGTCCGTGTGTGGCTGCCTCTTGCACGCCCCCAACAGGGGGGACCTGTCCCACAGCCCAGGCCTGTGCCCTGATGGGAATCAGATGGGCACCCCTTGGGTTTGCAGGCTGGTGCTCAGTTCTCTGAGCCTCACCAACCAGGACAGCAGTGCTTAAAATAGTAGCTTTTTCTGTTCTCAGTGAATCCTGGGGGCGTTCTCTACCTGCTTTGTCCTGCAGCACTATGCTGCCAAACCAAGCAGATGAGTTAAGCTTGGTGTTAAGTGTTTGTTATGGCAGCTAAGTACTTACCTTTCCCTCCCTAATGCCCCTGCGCACTGTTTTTGAATTGGGTGGCAATGTTACTGAAATTGTGACATTGTGAGAGTATGATTTTGCTTTATCACCAGTGATAATAGAATAATTAGGGCATAGTGGAAAGAGCATTCAAACTGGGTGCACAGTGACTTTGCGTTCTTAGTTCATCTCCTAACTGGCATGATCTTGAGCAAGTCGCTCTCTCCCTGTGGCCTAGAATTAATATCTGTGAAGTTCCTTCTACTTCTGATTCTTGCCCTACATTAGTTCTAAAATACAAGGAAATATACATACATAAAGATGTGTGTCTTATCAATCTTCCTAAACAACAAAGATTTGACCTTGTCAACTGGTGTCTGTCAAATGGACAAGTAGGTGTTCTGATTGGTTTCAGATAAATTAAATTGAAAAAATATTACTTCATTCTTTATTCTACAGGTCAGTATTTTGAAATGATTTTAAGTCTCAAACTGTAAAGTTAATGCATGTGACTGATTTTGTCTTATGAAATAACTTTGCTATTTACAATTTTTCAGGAGGTTGAAACAGAACAGTATTATAGTTTTTTTTTGGTAGAACTGAAAGAACGTGGCTATAATGGATTCTTCAGTCCTAAATCTAGAGCTAGGACAATGTCAGAACAAGAAAGAAAGCATGTTGATGGCTGTGCAATATTCTTCAAGACAGAAAAGTAAGTCATTTTAATTTTTAAAACAAAATTTTCTCTGCTTGCCAGATGGGGACCGAAAGTATGGAAATTAGTTGGAAAATAAGAGAAGGAAGCATCGTATTATTACTTAAGAAAACAATACCTTTGACTTAGACAATACATTTTATTCTGAATCATGAGACATAATCTTGTTTTGGAGACATATTGGAAGTACTGCTGTTTCTTCAGGTGTTTAGTAGGATTTAACTCCAATTGTTAATTGAAACACCTCAATTGACTTTCCCTCCAGGATGGTAGAGAGATTCTTAAACCCATCCTTTGAAAAAGAATGTTTAAAAATTATAAGATGAAATATTCCAACACAAGACATAAACAGAAGATGACTGCATTAAGTTGTAAAAGTTGAAATCAAGATGTTTTTTGTATCAATAACAGACTGAGAACAACTTAACACATTGTGGACCGCTCATGAGTTTTCTCGTTTTTCACGCGCCATCTCTTAGGGACTTTAGATGTCAACACACTGTCTTGTCCACATTGAATGAAGCGATCTCATTGGTGGAAACCGTGCAGGTCAATCTACAAAAAACTATATAATTGCATGAACCCATAAAGCACTGCAGTTACATTGTATTTTGGTCATTCGACCCTGGCGTATGTCTTAGAGATTTCTGTGCGGTACACAATGTATTAAAATGGGTGTGGAAGGTCGGTTTTAGGTGTGGAATTTTCCATAATGTGATTTACATGCCATTGTATCTGTTAGGAAAGTTTGAGAAAACTGCATTTCTCACAAAGCTAATACCCTGGTATTCCCAATTTCATGTTTGTGTGTGTGTGCGTGTGTTTTTGTTTTAGATTTACTTTGGTTCAGAAACACACTGTTGAATTTAATCAGCTAGCAATGGCAAATTCAGAAGGGTCCGAAGCTATGCTGAACAGAGTCATGACAAAAGATAACATTGGAGTTGCAGTGCTACTAGAACTTCGAAAGGAATTGATTGAAATGTCATGTGAGTGACCTTTTCACTTCCTGTAAAATTGACCTCCAGAATTTAATAGGAAAAAATAATAGTCCTTGTTGTGTAATAATGGTCTTGTCTAATACCTGAAGAAACTCAATGAGAATTTAAATCTTTTCTGAAATATCATAGTTTTCTCTACCAAAAAGCTTAAGATGAGAAAGCATTGCCAAGAAAAGTACTTCAGACCTTGAAAGGCATAAAACCAAAGGGAAAAAATTCTTTTTGCTCCCAAGAATTTTTCACATAAAAGAAAGGGTGAAGTAATAATTTGTTAGAATAACTGCTCAGGGAGAAGAATTCCATGCACTTTCTATAATTTCTTGGTAGCAAGGATATTCTGTAAGCTAGCTTTTCTTCCTGACCTACTTGTAATCATTATTTTAAAGGTTTCAAGTTTTAGAGAAATCAACCACTTACTTCAAATGAAAAAGTATTATTTAGAGTGATCATCATGCTGAGAACTGAAATTTCTGTCACCCGAGGAACAGTCGGAACTGGGGCCATTTAACCCGAAGGTAGAAAAGGTGAAAGGAAGAACTCACTGGCTGCCTTAGGTGTAGCTAAGGGAGCGAGTGTAGATTCGATTTTGCAAGGGTCTGTTTACTCTGCCTAAGCTAAGGTCGGAAGTTTGAAGGAGACACAGCCGTGGCTGTTCCAAATAGAATGAGCTGTTTCTGATTAAGTAATGAATACCCAGTGCTGGACGTACACAAGCTGAGGATTAAATGTCTATTTCTCAGGTTTGTTGTAAGGTAGATTCAACCATCAGGTGGGAGATTTGTTAAGTAAATGTTAGGGTCCTTTTTTATTCCTAAGACACTGAGATGCTACTTGCTTTCGGGCTTCTAAGAATATGTGGGCGCATAGACAGGTTTTGTCTGTCTGTTTTCTTTTTATCTACCATAGCTGGAAAGCCACATCTTGGAACAGAAAAACAACTTATTCTTGTGGCTAATGCTCATATGCATTGGGACCCAGAATACTCTGATGTCAAGTTAGTTCAAACGATGATGTTTCTCTCAGAAGTGAAAAATATCATTGATAAAGCCTCACGAAGCCTCCAGTCCAGTGTATTGGGAGAATTTGGAAATATTCCATTAGTGTTGTGTGCAGATCTTAATTCTTTGCCAGACTCTGGTAAGAAAAGAATATTATTTTTATTTTTTAAAGATTTTATTTATTGGGGGGAGGGAGGAGAAGAGCGAGTGAAACATTAACATAAGAAAGGACGGACCTCTTGTACCTGGGACCAAACCAACAACCTTTCACTTTGTGGGGTGATGCCCAACCAACTGAACCACCCTGGTCAGGGCAGAATGTTAGTTTATGTGGAATGCTTTTGGACTTGAAATGTTTTTGCAATGTATTGATTCTGATAATTCCAAAGTTAGTGAAAACAGTTTCAGTGTGTAGTGGCAGCTATGAATCGGGTTTAAAACTGTTGAGCAGGGAGTGCATTTTGAAAATGAAAGGGTGTTGTGAAAAACTCAGGAGGAAGAACATTAACCATCTTTAACTAACACATAGATAATAACTTGAAATAACTCATTAAAGAACATATAATTAGGTTTCATTATGCCCATGTTATATAAGGGTTGGCAGAAGTAGGTTTGCATTTGCTCATAAAGTAATATAATAATTAATAAATTACACAAGAATAAACTGTGTTGCATGTACTCACAATTATAAACTTACCTTTGCCGACCCCTGTATATGTGTGTACTCCAGACTGAAAGGGTTTTAGGACAGCTTCTTCAGTGTTCCAAGGTGTGATACCCAATTTAAATTTAACCATATATTACAGAATTTCAAATTTTGATGGTCTTGATTAGAAAAATCCACCTCAGGTGGGAATTGAAATCCTTCATTTACCCAGATCAGGCAAGAGATTTTTTTTAAAAAAGAACAGATTTTTATTTTTATCACAAAGTAGAATACAGAAAGCTTTATTCTTAAATATTTTTCCATAGATGGTACCTTGAATAAACCATAACCCTTGTAACATTGAATTCAAGTATTTCCTCTTTTTTGTATTTCAGCTCCTTGTTCATAGTCTGTCCTATACACACAAATGATTTTCCTTGGACTTGCATGCATGCATGCATGCACGCACACATTTAGGGCGGTTAGATTCAGTAGTAGATGGGGGCCATTCTTAAGGTAGAAATTCTGTTAAAATTTGTTTTCAGGGAAAACAGAGGTATCTGAGACTCACAATTCTTTTATCTCATCAAGCTTTTGGGGATTGCTGCACTGGCTTTCCACCCTCTGTTTTGCTACACAGTATCCGAGCAGCAAAGAGAGGCTTGTCAAATCATATAGATCTTAAAAACTACTTCACTGTTGAAAAACACTATTGTGATAGCAAACCCAAAGGAAAATGTCCAGCCTTGCTCACGAATTAAATGAAAACTAAAACAGGTATTTGTAGAGCCTATCTCATATTCAGGAAATTGAGAAAATAGTGTCCAGGAATGTGAACTTGCTCTGTTGCTGACGGGTGGCGTTCTCTTCCATGGTTGCCTTTATGTGATGGGGGAGTGAATCCTGATCTTGGTGTTGTACCAGGCAAATAATTTAGCATAAGTTAGAAACCTACATACTAAGATGTTGATTGTGGTATTAACTCTTTTTTAAAAAGTAGAAACAGCCTGAGTGTTTTTGTTTTTGTTTTAAAGAAAATGAGAAAGCGGTTTAACAAATGTTATACACCAGCCCTGCCTGTTATATTGTGCAACCATTTTAAAAAGGTAATTGGACATCTAAGTTCATGTGAAACAGTAAAGCAGAGCATAAAATATTCAGTATACTGTTACTAAAACAATGTAAAATGGATTTAGACAAGTTCTGGCAAATTTAAAAAATCTTTTTAGAAAGTGGAAATATTTTACACATAGTTATGTTTTTTTGTATATTGTGTGTTATACTTGACAATGGAAAAGTCCATTTATTTTCATTCTAGGTGTTGTAGAATATTTGAGCACTGGTGGAGTAGAAACAAATCATAAGGACTTTAAGGAACTGAGATATAATGAAAGTCTTACAAACTTCAGCTGTAATGGGAAAAATGGGACACCCAATGGAAGGATCACTCATGGTTTCAAGTTAAAGAGTGCCTACGAGAGCGGCCTGATGCCTTACACAAATTACACGTTTGATTTCAAGGTGAGTGTTTGACATTGCCAAACTTTTAAAATCTCCATTGTTTTAAAGAGAGTCTTGCTACTTTGTCATGTCTTGAACATGTGAATACATGTTCAGATGAGGCCATCTTGAGTTAGTATGTGTTAGAATCATTTCCAGGGTAAGAAATCAGGTGAAATAATCATATAAACCCTGAGTTAACTGTCTCACTTTTGGGGCGCAGGCATGTTTCCCACAGCCTTGGTACTGACAGCTGCATTTGCAGTGCCCCCTGCAGCAGGTCCCACATGGTGTCCGTCCTTTCGGCATCGTCTCATTATAATGCCGATAAGATGCCACGGGAGCGTAACTCTTGTTTATATCAACTAGCCTATATTAAAGTTGGTTTCACCATATGTCGTTTCGCCTCAAGCTGCAGAACCTGTTGAGCTGTCAAGCATGGGCTTACTTTCTCTAAGTTGGTGTCAGTTGGGGTGAGGTGTTCAGTCTCTCATGGAAATTTAACTGCAACTTCCTTGAGTGTGAAAATTTGATTTAATGGCCATTTTTAAGTTGCTAAAATATATTTATAGGCCTCCTTACAGTTAACAGCTTACAGTGTGGAGCCTTTCATTAGTGAGTCTTCTCATTTTTGGTGTCAGCAGTTGTTTAGCACTTAATGTTTAATTGTCCTTTTTAGCCACTTTTGTATTCCTGCTTTCCTCAACCCTAGTTTTTCTACTTCTAACCTGTTGGAACCAGAATCGTTTGGGTTAGATTGTCCTACTAGACTGCAAATAACTAGTGTTGGCTGGTTAATTTTGGAGGGGAGGGCTTTTTAGACTCTCTAAAGAAACTTAAAAACTGACGGTTTTTTAATTTGACTTTGGGGTCCCCCAGTACTATAGATAGTGATTGAATCCTGGGAACAGGTGGGCATGTCAAGGCGAAGAGGGGCTGGAGTAGACGCAGGAAAACTGACATGTGAATGACAGTAACCAAAGAGGAGCAAAATCAGGACTGTAGGAGCGTAACTGCCAAGGAAATATGGCCTTTCTTGGAAAGAGGAGTGAGGGGTAAGCTTCAGAAAGATGTTGGGAGAGGTTTTCCTGGAGAGCTAGGCAGAAAGACGAGCATGTGGGAGCTGAAAAATAACTGAGTGATGAGGTAGTAACGACCAACTTGGAGATTCTTAAGAGGTGAGAGTGATAACCAAAAGGTGGGAGAGACTGGGAATTTTTTTCTTCTTTTTCCTGTTGATGATGTAGAGATAGGAAGGAGACATTTAAATGTGCTTAAATACTTTGGGCCAAGAACATGTAACATGTAGTGGAGTTGCAAGTTACAGGGAGGACAGGGCAAGCAAGAGGTGCTTTGTTGTGTGCCTGGTGCTGCTGAGGACGTGGAGGGCAAGGACAGCCCTGTCTCAGCCACATAAATGAGTGTGTAGTGGGGTGCACATTAGCAAGGGAAGAGAATTGGAGGTGGTAGGAGGTATTAAGTGGGTGACAAAGGTCTTTGGGAAGGGATTGAGCTTGGCATTTGATGGTTGAGAAGGAATTAAGCAGGTCACAAATAGAACAAGTATTTCAAATAGGCAGGGGTGCACCATGTGTAAAAGCCCTGGGCAGGAAGGAGCCTAGTGCATGCGAAGACTGTGCCCCAGTTCATACCTTCCGTCCCCCTGACCCCCAAAAGGACTAGTGCGGCAAAAGGGTAGTGAGCAAGGGAAAGTGGCATCAATTAAGTGAGCAAAAAGAAGCAGAGGCCTTATCATGAAAGATCCTTTAGGTCTCATTAAAAATTCTGGAAGGATCCAGACAGGAGGAAGGCGGCCCAGTTACCATGCCTAAACTGTCTTGGTGCTGCGGGATTTGACGTTGGGGGGACCGTTGGTGTTAGGGAGCGCTGCCTCTCCCACACACTGGTACGGTTCCTTGTTTACCAAACATGACTGTAAGGGTGTGTCTTGAGAGCCTTCAGTATTTCAGAGTTATCTTATGTGGAGTCTTGTCTTTTTTATTTCCTTCTGATTTTCAGGGTATAATTGACTACATCTTCTATTCTAAGCCTCAGCTGAACACATTAGGCATCCTGGGACCTCTGGACCACCACTGGCTAGTTGAGAACAATATCAGCGGCTGCCCACACCCACTCATCCCCTCCGACCACTTCTCACTTTTTGCACAACTGGAGCTCTTACTGCCTTTCCTGCCCCAAGTTAACGGCATTCACCTTCCTGGCAGGAGGTAGTCAAGTACCTTCAGAAGATGACCTCAATTTCACTTTTAAACTTATAAAAAATCTGAATATAGGGGAGTGAGGTATGGCCACTAGGGATTTTTTTCTTAATGATGATTTGAGTTCTCAATCTGCATATTTCATAAGGATATAGTATGAAAGCCAGGTGCTAGCAATGGACAAATTCTGAGCCCAATATGCTTTATATACTGTTAGACAGGGATTGGTGTGTTTGCACCTATCTTTAATTTGTTACAAGTAATTTTCCTGTTTCTTCTATCCAGTATAATATTTTCATGCCTTGAAATAGGAAAATGTTTGAACAGCATATCCTCTTTGCACAGAAATCTGTAGCACTACTTTTCTGAGGCCAGTAATAACATCCAGAGACCATTCTTCCATACTTGACTCCCTCCTTTTTCAGACATGTTTGTAAAGTACAGAATTTGAATTTAGCCTTTATGATTGTATATGATCCACAGAAGACCTGATTTATGAAATTTTGTACTAAAAAAAATCAGATTTGGAAATGATTGTATTGTAAACTAAGGCTAAGTTTTTGGGGTTTTTTTTTTTGTTGTTGTTGTTGTTGTTGGGTTTTTGTTGTTTTTTTTTTAACCTGTTCCATGTATTTTAAAGGCCAGCTTGTAAAAGAAGTTGCAACAGACTTTCTCTGCTGATGATTTGCACTGTTGGGGTTTTCTTGGCCCTTTTGTACTACTTTGTTTTTAAATGGAGAACATTGCTTTTTAAACCTGTTTAAAGTTTAGGACATTTTTTTGGACCAGAGGTAACCTTATTTGTAAATTCCTGGGTTTTTACAAAAACTATCTACCAGGACAGATAAGCTGAGACACCTCCTGTCTATCTCCACTGTGCCTGCCTAAATTGTTCTCACCAAACACTGCCTGTGCATGCAGAGAAAATCTGTGCATCCTCTTTTATAGTTTTTAAATACTGTTTAACATTTGTGGGAATTTTATGAAAATGCTTTTTGTATGAGCTGTGACTTTCTTCCCATTGAGAAGCATTGAAGATCACATTTTGGAACATGTTCACAGGGCGCACCCCTGGGTCTTTGCTCCGCAGGCCCACGTGCTGCGTCTTGGTGTCACTGCGCAGTGCTGTCACCCAGAACACTGCTGTCATGTGAGTCCTTCTTGTTGTCCATGCAGTCCCTTGGTCTCCATGTTTCATTTTTAATCATTCCTTTTTTTTTCTTAAGTAATTTTCCGTTTATGAAGCAGTATAAATGAAATGTATTTTCAAAACAGGTCCTTAAGGCAATTCTTCAGATCGTTTTTTAAGTGACTAAGTCATTTTACTATGTCAACCAAGATAAAACTTATATTGTACCCTGTGTATTTTGCTCATAGTGCCATTAGTAGATTAGAGATTGAATCCAGCTCTAATTTTGCAAAGTTAACTTGTATATATCCTGGTCTCATTCATTTATTTTTATCTCAAAAGTCAAATGAATTCAGAGGGAAGTTGGTCCACCTGCTTTTGTTTCAGCTGCCGGCAAGGGAGCAGCAAAAGGACACCATGTGAGCATTAGGGAAAAATTGTTGAATGTTAATTAACAATTTTTACAAGAGAAGGAGTCATTTTGGATAATGACTTAAAATTTTATGAAAAAAATGTTCAGCACTTAAATGTGCTTATTCTGTTTTTAAGAGAAAATAAAATTTACATACTGTTTAAATAAATGATTTTTTTTCTCTTTAAAAAAAATTCTAAAACTGTTGATCTTGAATCTTTGTCTGGGACCTGATTTCTCCTTTAAGGTTTTTTAAAGATTTTGTTGTGGTGGATTTTTTTTTTCCTTTTTTCTTTTTTCTTTTTGTTTAAGTTGTGCTGACACCAAACATGTCCAGTTTATAATCAGTACATTGAATAGTTGGTATTATTGATGTAAAACCAATGCATAACTTTTTATGGGTTTTTGTTTTATTTTTTTATAAAGTGTGAATAAAGGTGTGTTTACTCATTTTTCCTAAACACTGTGTTGGTAATGTGCATCATGACAATGTCCAGCAAAGGCAAGCTGGAGCTGGTTGGACTGAAGAAACAAAGAAAACTGCTTTTCCTCTGATCTGCATTATGTGATAACAGGTCCAGAGAGCTTTATGGAGGGGCGGGGAGTGGCACTTACTCATTGTATTTGTTCATGGAGGATGTATTCTTTTCATAGATGCTGGAACTAGAGTGCACTTGTTAGATGCTAAAGGTTTGAGCTTTACAGAAAATGTTTTCACCTGTATTGTTATTGTCTCCAATATATTTGAATGGGGGGACAGGATGGTAAGATACAATGGCCTGTTATGTCTTGAAAATATTTGTTGTTGCCTCTTCTAGGCACACTGCGTTCTGGGGGTCAGTCTGGACAGCGTCTCCACCTTACTGAGATAGTGATGCATTGAACCAAGAGTGCGTAGATTTACGACTATAACCTTCAGAAGAGAAAAATATTTTGGGTCTGTAGGGAATAAACAGTAACACCAAAATAGATTGTGATACTTTTGTTAAGCAAAGTTTTGTGTTTTAAATATTTCTGTGTCCTGAATAATTTCCAATAATCCATACTCCCTAAAATGCAATGAAAACTAGTATGCTGTCACAGTATAGATTTTTTCAAAGATTCTGTAACAAATACATTTATGTGGTGTTGCCATAATGTAATTTCATTGTTCTTGCTGGATAAATCCATCTTATGAATGTTTTACAGAAAACTTGAGCTGTGTTTTCTGTTTTAATGATCAGAAATTTGGAGGCACTCAGTTCCTTGTTGTAAATCTCTTGAAGTACAGTTTACCTTATTAGTGGTAATTATTTATACTTTTGAGAATTTAAATTATGTTCATCAAAATTAATTTATGGCATAATTTAAACTAAAGTTGTAGATATAAAATGTTGATTGCAACTTTAATCATCCTCTAGAAGATAGGCAAGGAACATCTCCAAGAAATGTGTTTTTATTTTTACCTGATTTGGTGACAGCCAGGAAAACTTATTTTGAGTTAGCACTTTGAAACCTAAGGACATTATTAATAGGGCAGATGCACTTCTAAATGTTGAAATTAAAATTTCAAAGCTCTTCTAATATGCAGGTTTTCACTAATAAATTTCAGTTTTAGTATTCCATTTTTTTACTATTTAAACTCATGGAATTTGTTTCCATAGTGATTTTTAAGGTTTTGGGGTCATGTCTTATAAGGACAAAGCCAACCTAGGCAAAGCAGTTATAGCAGTTTGTTCTTTTAATGAACCAGTCAGAATGCCCAGAACAAATGCTGCAGATAATTCAAAGAACACCCTTAGCAAGTGTCGTCCCCCCGCCCCGCCGCCCCACTCATAAACAGTATTTCAAGATGTTCACTTTGCTCTTCTCGTTGGTTACATAAATTTTAATAACCAGTATGTTGAAGTAGTATCTAAAGTAGAGTATCTAGTTTTTACTCACAGTACATTATGTTGTGTAATGCACTGGACTAATTTTTGTTTACCATTCATGTAACAAAACCCAGCACGTTATCTGCACTAAGCTCAAAGAATGTCGCATTTGCCTAGGCAGCTCTTTGATAAGGGTAATGGGAAACTGAATATGTACCTATGGACTGGAGGTAACAAGGGCTTTTACTGTTCTTTTCAGTGGAACCTTCTTGGTCGAACTGTAACTAGCTAGTATTATATTTATATACAGGGTCTCTTTTCTTTACCGATGTATTTTCCTACTCATAGCCGACCAATAAATTCAATATCTGTTTCAAATACTTTAAAAGTGTAATTTGTATAGCTGTAGTACTGAGGTTTGAGAAGAGGGAATGTTCCTCAGCAGACCAGCTATGGAAAATGCTGAGTCTTCTGGGACCGGGGTGTAACTCACCCCTGGAAAGGGAGGAGTGATTGGGGTCAGGCCATGATATTGTAGAAGTGGCATAAACGTAAAGATTCCCTTAATGGCTGTGTTATTCTGTGTTAACACTCATATCTTTGCCAAAGTTCAGCTTTATATTTAGGCAACTGATGGTCCTTTTGCATTTAGGATTGTTGTTGTTATCATATACCTCATAATGAGCTCGTATGTCTTCCATCTTTTTGGAAGGGGGTTGACATATTTTAAATAAATGCTTTTAAATATAGTAGCAAACATTGTGTTGGTGGGGTTATACTAATACATTAAATGTTTTACTTGTTACATGTATGTTTTGTTGTATATATAAACTTTTAAAATGTGTGACTTCCCAGCTTCAGGATATTAACTCCATTTGCTTTATAGAAACTACTTCTATAACAAATAAATGTAAATTTTTATGTAGAGGCTGGAAAAATTATTTCAAATCAGAAGACAATTTAGATAAAATTAATGTTTACTGAGATGTACAATTTTTAAGGTAGGCATTTTCTACCTATATCTTAAACATATCATTTTACCTCGACTATAACGGAAGTCTTGTTCCTCCTTATATATCTGTCAAAAAAATACGTTTAAGAAAGCTAATGAAATATGTCCATATTACTTTATAAATTCCTAGTTAATGTTCTTTAGAGGGACAAGTAACCTAAGGAAACAGTAACTGGGATATATTTAGAATAAAGTTTTCAGATTTTAGGTAACAAGTGTTATATATACTGAGAAGTCCCTTTTTGGAATATTAGGTATTCAAATCTAAAATGATTATTAAAATAATTTCACAAATACTCTAAAGACCATTTTAGTATCCAAGTTATGTATTAGAAGAATCTAGAATTTCACAAGAATTTGAGGAATAGTCCTATAAGTTAACTTCCTCCAAATAATAAAATGCAAAATGTTCTAAGTGTATTGTTCCCCAGATGACTAACCAGCCTAGAGCTGGGAACTGGGAAAGCTGCTGGACTGCATGGTGCCTTGAAGACCAGTTTCTACAGTTTCCCTAGCAGCATTAACACTTAATCAAATGAGTAAGGAGGTACCAGTTTTCTCATTTTCTTTGAACTGCAAACTTAAAGCCACTCTAATCTCGATAGCGCATGACGTTATCCCAGGCCTGCAGGAGGACCTTGGCTCGTGCCCTCGCCCGCCCAGCGCACACGGGGAGGCCGGCCTGCGGGGCCTGAGGCTGCCTCCCTAGTCAGTGGCTTTCCCCCGCCAGCCCACGGCCCGTCTGACTGCAGCGTCTCCCCTTCAGAGCAGTCCCGCTGGTGCTCTTGTTTTCCAAAGTTGACGTGATCCTTGAAAACCCAGTCTGTGAAATACACCATAAATGGGAATGGCGGTGTGACCAACTCCAGGCAGAAGAAATCTGCAGAACTCAGGACTTGCTTTCCGTTTAATATTCACCGTGAGGCAGGTGGCCGACTTTCCAGCAGTGGTGCAGGTGAGGGATACAGGAAACGTGTGCACCTGTGAATAGAGTGCTGCTCTGGTGGGGAGTCACTAGAGTGACTGGGGCACAGTGGGCAATGCCTTTAAACCTTGAACCACATGCTGAAGTTGGAACTTCGTCCTGTAGAGGGCGGTGAAGAGCCACACTGGGTTTTAAATGCAAGTAGCATTACCAGGTGTGCCTTCTCGGTCTCTCTCTGCAGCCTCCCTATGGAGGATGGATGAAAAGCGTAAGACTAGTGACCTGGGTTCTGACGTGTTTCTGTTGAGAGAAGATAAGCTGAAGACAGCTTGCAGGGCAGTAGAAAGGAAGGGAGTTTGAAATATGTAGGAAATAAAATCAGTATGAACCTTGATTCCTGCCTCTCACACTGGTTTGAGAAAAGACAGGAACGCGGGCACTGTATTAGGCAGACCCTGACTCACCATTTCATGTCTTTACCAGTAAGGCTTTTAATATTTCCTTTCCTGAGCTGCCG